TGAGTACAAGACAGCACGGCAGCAACTTGCAAAAAAAAATCATGTATTCAATAGTCAATACAAACATGTACTGAAGCCTCCTTTTATAATGTGTGTCACTGCAGGGATGTTTGCTGCCGCCTGTTTCATGGTTAACAGCTTTCCAAATGCTTAGGGCCCCAAAAGAAAAATCATGATCAAGAACGGTACTTGTTTAATATTTAAGAAAAATTCTTTTCTTCCCTGACATGCATTTCTCCCTTCAGATTTCTGTAGGTACTACTTTTGCCTGTGAATTCCTGGAAGAAAAACCTGCTTTTGTTTTGCCTGCCATGAAAGCTCAACACTGCCCCATGAACCCAGCGAGGTTGAGAAATCTTGAGCCTTGAGGAAGTGAGATGGCAACATTATCTTGTTCTCTCCACACCCACGCCCTCCTCCTTCCCTCCCTCAGCTCTCAGTGTGAACAGGAGACAATTGTTGCAGACCATTCTGAAGAAGAATAAAGTAGCTCATGCTTACCAGGCTTCTTTGGCTCCTCCTGGCATGAGTGAAGGACCGTATCTGGCACCCTCCTCTCCACCACTAACACCACTTCCGACAAATAAGATGCCCTTTTCCTGTAGTTCCTTACAACGTCTCTGGAACAAAGACCAGAGCAGCATTATTTAATTTATTTCAATGCCAGAGCCTTACAATCAAAGGTTAGCAACTCAGACCTAAAATTAGGTTTTCAATTCTGCTTTGGACATGCTAGAAGACAACCTTAGAGAAAGCCTGTACATACACCAAAGTGAACATTAGGAAACTTCCTGTTGCTTTGACACGGATCCTTGCAAAAGAGACATGCTTAGAAAACAAAGTCCTTATAAGCACCGAATAATAAAAAAAAAAAAAGCAGTACTGAGGCTGGAAAAGGCTCAGAATTAAGTGTCAGGTGATGCTCTGTGCAAAGACGTGGGGGAGGCAGATTAGGCCCAAGGTGGAGTACTTGAGTTCATTGCAGAGTGAAGGTGCAAGCGTAGACAACTGCAAGGGAAACTAATTCCCTCTGAGTGGGAGAGAAGCACAGGCTGAGATCCATAATGGGAGCTGCAAGCTCCCCAAGTATTAATTCTCATTTAGTACCTGTTTTTTACTCTGGCGTGGCCAACCCACTTATCCAAGATCAGGATGGCAAAGCAGAAAGACTAATACCAGCACCCTTTCTAAAATTCAGAAGTATCAACTTGAATGAAACATGTAAGCGTCCCAGATACACTAACACAACTTCTATAACTTCTAGAGTTACAGCCTGCTCAGAAGCAGACTTTTCGGTTTTTTGGGGGGTTTTGGTTTGTTTGGTTTTTTGTTTTTTTGTTGTTTTTTTTTTTTTGAAAAACAGAACAGTACTCTGTTGTTTTCATTACAAAGACAGCCAAACCAGCAGTTCTCTCTTACTGGATTTCCCCATGGCCATATAGGATTGAGATACAATAACAAATCTAAAATATCCTTAGATTTTCAAATCTCCCTGAAAACTCTTTAAGACTGACAGGAAATTTTTCAGATGTCAATAAAAATAATAATTGATAATTTGGGCAACTTCTATAAAAGTATTCTTATAGAACAGTCCTTAATTACTGTAACAATTGCTTTTTAATAGGCTGTATGATTTAGTTTTGCACAGATAACTCGGTTTGGCCTTCTCTAAGCAGACGGTAGAAGCCATCTTATTGACAGACTGTTCTGATGATCAGAGGAGAACGAATCATGTGTATTTTGTTCATCCACTTTGGGCAGAAAACAGGCTTACCGTGGTATCTCTATACTCAGAATTCCCACCATCAATTATGATGTCTCCAGTCTCCAGCAACGGCACCTACCAAAAATAAATCGGCATTTTGTTTTTCTCCATCCACTCAAAACCTCACTAATGACACATAATTGAGATTTTCCAGAGGAAAATTCTCCAAAAGACAGCACGGAGTCACAGGTAGAAAGAATGTTTGCCTCACCAATTTATTGATGAAGTCATCCACTGCACTTCCAGCCTTCACGAGCAAGATAATGCGACGGGGCTTCTTTAACTTAGAGACCATCTCTTCCAGGCTGTGAGCACCGATCACTTTGGTTCCCTTGGCCTCATTAGCCAGAAAGTCATCCACTTTGGAAACTGTCCTGTTAAAAGCACAAACCTGGGGGAGCAAGAAAACATGTTAACAAAGCTGTCACCAGAACAGTTACTTTAGCTCAGACTACAAATTATACACGCAAGATTCAACATCCCATGCTCTCCCACTTCCATGTTCCCTAAAGACACAGGGCAGGGATGACCCTGCAGCACGTCTCTGCAAGTGCCTTGGGAAAGTACGGTTAATGGCCAAGGCCAGAGGAAACCTTAGGGAAAAATCATACATAATTAACACATGAGGTGGCTAGCTGAGTACAGGCATGCACTGCTGGTTTTCTCTGGAAACGGGACAAAGGGCAGCCTAGGTTATAACTAAAAGGAGGAAATAACACCCATTAAACCATCACAAGGAAGAAAAGAAAAACCACCCACAAAATGCTCAGCTCCCATCCCAAGTGCTACTGAGTCAGCCTTTCCGAACAATGTGTTCCTTCACTTACCACGAAGCCGTGGTCGTTCATGTTCAAAATAAGGTTTTGACCCATCACAGCCAGTCCAATCAAAGCAATGTCGGCTCTGGAATGTGGAAGAACAAAAATGCCAGCTAAGTCTCATTAGCAGTGATCTAGCACTAGCACCCATACCCTCTGTCAGGCTGTTCTGGTCTTGTCAAGTGCTGGGCCAGCCCACCCCTGTCTGACAAACGCCGCGGCACACACTCTGAATTGATTCTGTAGGCTATCACAGCAAGAGACCCTTGCAGCTCCCAGCGAGTCCAACAGACAGTGGAGACCAACATATAGCACGTTCCAAGTCACCAAGATTTCTCCCCAATTACCAAGACACAACTAGACGAGTAAGAAAAGAAAGCGACCCAAAACACGGCACCAGGAGGCAGGGGGCAAAGCTCCAGTACGTCACTGATGCATCCAGCTCTACCCCTGCCCCGCGTTTAACAGATGCTGCACTCGAACTTCACGTCTGAACACTACACCGTTTTTTTTTGCTTCCGCAACACAAACTGTCTCAGAGTTGGGGTGAGCAAAGGAAAAGGGGGAAACGGGATATTCTAACCCAGCTCGCAAGGGGCGTGCAGGCCGAGAGCCCCAACTCGGCTACTGCTGCTCCTCGGGGCAGGAACAAGTTTCCCGCTTCACAGTCACGTCCCCAAAACTGATCGCTCCCGCGTTTTATCAAGAAGCCTCTCAGCCAAGCGGCTTATTCCCCTCG